AACAATGATCAACAATTTCCTCCCTATTACAGAAATGACAATCATACCTTATGGGGATCGATCTCACTTGAATTTGGGTGCCTGTTGGGAGAAAATTATGAGCCAACCTCAACATAACTACTTTCATTTTATTTGGGCATTGAAATTGCCATAGTTTCCTCCAAGTTTTCTCCATGCTCTTCTGATCTGAAAAAGCCCCCTTGCCATTTGCACTTTTGTCTCTCCAGAAATTTAGTGTTCTCAAAAAATTATATGCTGATCTCACTGTGTAAACACCATCTTTTGTGTGGGGCCATGAAGCAAAATCTGGACATTCTTCTATACTCAATGGTATGCTAAGAATTTTCTCCGCTATGTCCTCTGGAACAATGTTTCTAACAGTTTCTTCCTTCCAGTTATGTTCCCCTTCAATTATCAAGGAACTCACCATATCATTATCACTTCTAAGGGAAATATGTTGTAGAGTTCTCGGAGTAATGCCAGGGATCCAATTATCTTCATATGTATGTATTTTGTTTCCATCTCTCACCCTCCATAATAGGCCATCCTGCAACACTTTCCTCCCATACATCAGACTGCGCCAAGTATATGAAGATGACCTCGGGCATTTAGCTGTCCAAAAATCCCCTTCTGGATAGTATCTTCCTTTTAGTACCTTGGCACACAATGAATTAGCATTTGTTAATAGGCGCCAACATCGTTTTCCCAACAAAGCTTGGTTGAAGATTGCCAGGTCTCTAAAGCCCATGCCACCTAAATATTTTGCTGAGGATAACCACTTCCAAGATCTCCAATGCAGTTTCCTTCTCCCATTTTCTACACCCCACCAGAAGTTGGAAATATGCATTTTCATCTTTTCGCAGACACCAATAGGAATCTGAAAACAACTCATTACATAAGTTGGCATTTCTTGTGCGACTGATTTTAACAGAACTTCTTTCCCAGCCCTTGACAGAGGCCTATCGCTCCATCCATTGAGTTTTTTCCAAAGTCGACCAGCGAGAAAGCTAAAGTTGTTCGTTGGTGATCTTCCCACCCAGGTCGGCATACCAAGATAAGTAGCTTGTAGTGTATCATCTTGGATTTCCATCTTCTGCTTTACCCTTTCCTTTATTTGCTCATTACAAATGGTGACAAAAAATATAGATGATTTTCGAGTATTGATCTTCTGTCCATACCCGTCGCAATAAGTTTGAAGAGCTGATTTAAGAGTATCAATACTCCTATCATCTACTTTAGTAAATAACAAGTTGTCATCGGCAAAAAGGAGATGGGGGATAGGAGGGCCATTTCTACCATTGCGAATCCCTTTCAATTCTCCAGAAGCTTCCTTTTGCTGCAATAAACAAGATAAGCCTTCAACGCACAACAAGAAAGGGCAGGGGCTAATTGGATCCCCTTGCCTAATGCCTCTAGTGGGTTTAAGATGTTGAGTTAACTCTCCATTAACTTTAACTGCATATTTCACAGAAGTTACACATCTCATTACCATCTCAACCCATTTATCATTAAAGCCCATTTTCAATAATATACCCTTGAGGTAGTTCCACTCCACCCTATCATAGGCCTTTGTCATATTGATTTTAAGTGCAATGAAGGGGTGCTTGACTTTCTGCTTTCTAATTGTGTGGAGACATTCATAAGCTATAAGGACATTATCTTAATTAGTCTTCCTGGCACCGGCAAATAAAGTTTGAGTCGATTAGCTATAACTTTGGAAGCAATTTTATATATAACGTTGCACAAACTTATTGGCCGAAAATTAGAGAGCACGTCAGGGGAGTTTACTTTTGGGATTAAGACAATTACCGAATCATTGAAGCCCTCTGGAATTTCTGATCCCGAAAGAAAACCCTTCACTGCTGCACAAACATCTTCTTCTATCAGCTCCCAATGTCTTTGGTAAAATAGAGCAGGGAATCCGTCGGGTCCCGAAGCCTTGGTGAGGCCCATCTGGAATAGTGCGGTCTTGATTTCGTCATTTGTATATTCTCGGCAAAGCGCTTCATTGATTTCTTCATTCACTTTAGGTGGAATTGCTTCCAGTACTGCATCTAATGAGGTACAAGGTTCAGAGGTGAATAAATTAGCATAAAACTCATATACCATACTCTTAATCCCTTCACGGTCTTCGCACCTTGTTCCGTCAGCTCTCTTCAAGAAATTAATTAAATTTGTTCTTCTCCTAGCTGAAGCTGCATGTGCGCCACTTGTCGCAACCTCGGAGTTTTCCCTTTTTTCATAGATCTGTTTATTCAAAATATTTTATCTCTTAAACCGTGCGTCCAAATCTCGAACCGCTTTCGCCGTTGGATTCCTCGTGTCGAGATCTTCAAAACTAGATCCCATGTTGATAGGTTTTGACGAACTTTTTTTCATGAAAAAAACCGATGAAAAAACCGAACCGGGGACATGAGTTTTTTTCCCTTTCTAAAAGAGGCACGCCCGTACCTCTGACGAAATCACAACCATGCCTCTCGCAGAAGCAAAACCGTGCCTCTCGCGGAAGAAAAAAAAACAAAAAACGCATTTTTTTCCTCTTTCCGAAAGAGGCACGCCCGTGCCTCTCGCGAAAGCACAACCGTGCCTCTCGCGGAAGAAAAAAAAATAGAAAACGTGTTTTCTTTTCGTTTCCGAGGAGGCACGACCGTGACTCTTGCGAACGCACAACCGTGCCTCTCGCGAAAGGAAAAAAAAACAAAAAACACGTTTTTTTTTCGTTTCCAAGAGGCACGGTCGTGCCTCTCCTGAAAGCACAACCGTGCCATAGAAATAGAACCTAGAGCCAGGGCTCCGCCTCCTCCTCCTTCTCCAAGAAAGAAAGTTAAGGTCCGTGCCTCTCGCCGGCGCCGGCGCAGGTCCGCCTCGTCTCCGGTGGCCCTAGGGTCATGGACGCGCGGTGGATCCTGCCAAGGGCCGGCGGGAGGGCTCCGTTTTTAGTATTTTTTTCAATCTTGTTAGGGTTTGTATCCTACTCAGGAAGGCAAGACGGCGACGGCTCCCTAAAGATGGAATAAAGGTCTCCCCGCTTAGCCCCCGTTCCGGTGGTGCGTCTAGCATCGTTGGTGGGCGTGTGGAGGTGTGTCTCCGACAGATCTAACTTTGGTGGATTTGCTCGGATCTTGTCGTTATTCGTCTGCGTTCGTGTGTCTTCGGTTTGGATCCTTCCGATCTACGTTATTTTTCATCGGCGGTGGTTGCTGTTCTGGGGTGCTGGTCCTATGGGGCCTTAGCACGACGACTTCCCGACTGTCTACTACAACAAGTTGTGCCCGGCTCCGGCGATGGAGGGGTGATGACGACGGCGCGCCTTCGGCTCGCTTCGGTGCTTGTAATCGTCGCTAGGTGGTCTACGAATCTGGATGTAATTTTTATTTCTGGTATTCGTTGTACTGCCATGATTGAATATGAATAGATTGGAAGTTTTTCCGCAAAAAAAAGCACAACCGTGCCTCTCGCGAAAACAAAACCGTGACTCTCGCGGAAAAAATGCGTTTTTTTGCTCAAAAATAATTTTTTTCGAATTTTTTTTGGTCGAAAAGCTAGGGAAGACCGGTGGAAAGCCAAAACGTCAGAAAAAACCCGAAAAAATCATTTAAAAAGCCGAAAACGCGTGCGAAAAAAAAATCAAAATCCAAAGAGAGCGCGACACGTGGCGAATGGCTGAGAGCGCGTCAAGTGACGCTGATCGTTGCGAGGCTCCCGAAGGAGCGCTCGTTAATTAGTTGCTTCCTGTTGGGTCCTATTTTCACTCGGGTCAATTGTTTTTCACTGCACTATTTTTCATCATGGGTTGTATGTACGAACCAGGCTTTGGGCCAGTGGCATCGGTGTCAATTGACCCGGCTCCAATACTGTAGCTCCTGTTGGCGCCGCCTCCTCGCAGCGCCGTTCTTCTTTCTCTCATCTCTCATAAACACACACCATGGAGAAACTCTACACAGACACACACACACAACCAAGAAGAAGACCGGCTGTTACTTTGCACGAGAGGCCCTTCTCCTTGGTGGAACAAGAGACTACATTGTGTTTTTTCCAGCCCTCTTGGCTCCGCCTTTTCATTGCTCCAATACAACACTTATATACAAAGGACCCAGCCACCTATGTCATGCACCCACGCACTAACCAGACGCCATTCCCGGCCACTAACACCACGCACACGCACCACTAACAGCATGCAGCGCTGCCCACTATTCCTCAACGGCCGCATACAACCCGGCCGAGTCCAGCTACCAACTCATGCATGCAAACTAACTCAGCCTATTCTCTTGACTAATACTTATCTTAACTACTCCCTCCGTTCCTAAATACTTGTCTTTCTAGAGGTTTCAACAAGTGACTACATACGGCGTAAAATGAGTGAATCTACACTTTAAAATATGTCTACATACATCCGTATGTTGAGTCCATTTGAAATGCCTAGAAAGACAAGTATTTGGGAACGGAGGGAGTACCATGCATCTCTAGTACTAACGTGGCATGCAACGCACACATCACGGTACACTTGGACGTGTACAACACATGTCAAGATTAATCCTAACAGCTCCGTCCCTCCCGCCATTGGCCGTTGGAGCGGCAGACAGAAGGATGGCAAATTTACAGGCTCGTCGGTGAAGCACCGTCAAGTTTACAGTAGTCCCAAAAATACCTTGGAGACTTTGTAAACCCAGACCAGAAGGTACTAGAAACTAAAACTCGGGTGAAGAAACTTGTAGAAAGCTCTGCCCGCTGCCGCCCACTGATTAACGGCGGGAATCGCTTATCAGCATAAACATGGCAAAGACGTTGCTTTCATCTGGAGAGATCCCATGCTTTCTCCACGCCTCCACTCCATTCCATTCCTCCCTCTCCTTCCTTCCTTCCTTCCTGCTGTCCACCCTTTTCTCCTCCCCGACTTCTACAAAACCGCGCTCCATGCCTCTCCAAACCAACCAGAGCTCCTTTGTTCCATCCAGGCATCAAGAAAGAGACGGAGAAAGGCACACGTTGGGTGCGTGACCATGTCGGCGGCGGCGGCAACAGGGCCGGTGGTGGACGCGGAGTACGTGGCCGAGATCGGGAGGGCGCGCCGGGACCTCCGCGCGCTCATCGCCAGCAAGAGCTGCGCCCCCATCATGCTCCGCCTCGCGTGAGTTCCTCATCCCCATTTTCTCGCCTGAGCAATGCACGTTTTGTGGCTTAACGACGGCGGTGATCATGGTGCGTGCGTGCAGATGGCATGACGCCGGCACCTACGACAAGAACACCAACACCGGAGGCCCCGACGGCTCCATCAGGTTCCCGGAGGAGCTCAGCCACGCCGCGAATGCAGGGCTCAAGATCGCCGTCGACCTTCTTGGTCAGCACTGTCAGACTTGGTTTTGGCTGTTCAGAGTTTCGTTTCTGACCCAATTAAGCCTGTCAAACTGAATTTAAACATGATGAATACCTGTGGTGCAGAGCCGATTAAGCAGAAGCACCCCAAGATCACGTACGCGGACCTGTACCAGCTCGCCGGAGTCGTGGCCGTCGAGGTCACCGGTGGACCAACCATAGATTTCGTTCCTGGCAGGAGGGTAAGTTCATGAAATCCGCAGCAACATTTGCCCTATTGTCGAGAAAAAACATCAGTTCATTACCATAGCAACCATGTATCGCAGGATTCTTCAGTTGCCATTGAGGAAGGACGCTTGCCAGATGCTAAGCAAGGTAATCAACTTACACAAATATCTACTCTAGATTCCAGTGGCACATTGTTTCTCTTCGTGAATGAAATGTGGGATGCAACCAAAATAACAGTTTCAACTAATGCGCTTGAATTAGAGTTTGCTTTCAACAGTCAGTGGCAAATTGCTTATGTTTATCATGTGACCAGGTGCTTCACACCTCAGGGAAGTTTTCTACCGAATGGGCTTGACCGACAAGGACATAGTAGCACTCTCGGGTGGCCATACTCTGGTAATATCTCAACGCCTTCTTTTTCGTATTCAGATTCAGATCAGTGTTCATTAATCATAATTCATATTCTTGTTTTGCAATGTACATTATTTTTAGGGGAAAGCTCGTCCGGATAGATCGGGATTTGACGGCGCTTGGACAAAAGATCCTCTCAAGTTCGACAACTCCTACTTCATGTGAGCACAATCATACCATGTTCATAGACTGGGCTTCAGCTTATAACATTTTAAATATTTGTAGAACCAACAGTTCACCACAACCTTGTCATCACTTGACTTCGTCTGCTGTATATGCTACAGTGAGCTTCTGAAAGGGGACTCTAATGGGCTACTGAAGCTGCCTACAGACAAGGTTCTCGTGGAGGACGCCGATTTTCGTCGCTTCGTTGAATTATACGCAAAGGTAAAACAGAGTTCAGTTAAGAATATCTCCAATCCATGTGCTACATTCATCTTGCTTAGCGTGTGGGATATTATGTTTCGCGCAGGATGAGGATGCCTTCTTCAGGGACTATGCCGAGTCGCACAAGAAGCTTTCCGAGCTCGGGTTCACGCCTTCTCGCGCTACTCTACTGGCGTGGGGGTGCAGAGACAAAGCCAAGAGGGCTGTCACGAGAACTACCACTGTCTTTGCGGTTGCGGTTGCCGTCATCGCCTGCGCTTACATCTGTGAATCCAAGAGGAGGCTCAGTGGTTAGGCTGCAAGTCTCCATGTGCAGATAACTGAAAATTCAGTGATGGGTTCTGAAGACCAAAGTTAAATCTAACATTGAGATGTTGTTCAGTCGTATTTGTAACTAATGTGCTGATACAGTGATGAGAATGCGTGCTACTATCTATCATCTATGTAACATTGTGTAGTTGTACGTGAAATAATGGAAAATACAGTGGTTGTCGATCGTGCAAGTTTCTACGGGAGTTCCACGGAGTTCTCAAGTGGTAGAAATAATATTTGGCAATGAATAAGCCTCGTGTCACAATCGACAACCACTGTAATCTTTGGCAATGAATAATCCGGTAATCTTTCCCAAGTTCACAAGTGAGCATTTTTTGGGAGAAGAACTCGCATGAAAAGTAAAGAGAAGGGAGTAGGTAGATTAGGGTCTCATTTCCTGAAATTATGTTCAGCATGCAAAGAAAAATGACAGTGTGTGTTCGGAAAAATGTTCAACGTGTATTAAAAGATGTTCATCTTTTTTTCTAAAATATTCAAGGTGCATCTGAAAAAAGTTTACGTTAACATGTACTCCAAAAATGTTCACATGTTTCATAAACATGTTCATGATATTTCATAAAAGTATAAAATGTAAACAACTGTCCACATAATTTATAAATATTTTTATGACCATTTAAAAAAGATGTTTATGCATTCAAAAAATATCTTCGTGACATCTTTAAAAAATAACAACACAATGTAAAAAAGTTTAGTATCATCCAAAAAATGTCCAACATGTATTTTAAAATGTTGAACACTTTAAAAAAACATTCAAACATGTATTTAAAAAAAATGTTCAGTGTGTATTTGAAACAATATTCAACATGTATCAACAAATGTTACACGTGTATACAAAAAGTGTACAACATGTACTAAAAAACAAAGTCAACATGTATTTGAAATTAATAAATGATACAAAACACATTGAAACAAAACAAGGAAGAAAACACACAAAATGTTCTAAAATCGGTCCATAGAATCATCCCAAAACCGTTCCATGGAGCTACATTGTTGGGCCAGCCCGTTTATTGGAACACCAGAGGCGAGGTGGTTTTTTTTTTTTTTTGCGAAAGTTGAAACCCATTCTTGGGCCAAGGCTGCTACTTCGCTTTCCCCCGGGCGCCACGTGCGGCTTTCTGTCTTGCCCGATATCATTTGTATTCCTATGAACATTGCTTAATAAAGGTCTACAGTTAAAAAAAAGGTCCTTTGCACTAGTTTTTTTTGCTCGATTTTTTTTGCTTCCTTTGTCTTAGAGTTTACAGATTTAAAAAAATGAGAAATCAAAACATTTTTATGTGTTTACAGATTCTTTTACAGGCTCCCTCGTTCGTTCAGCAGTTGACCCTTGATCATTGAAATTTCTAAATTTGAATAAAATCAGGAATTTAAAAAGTTTACCAATTTTGAAAAAGATTATCAATTTTTAAAAAATATCTTCAAAATTTAAAAACGTTCATCAATTTTAAAAAGTGGACAAACTTAAAAAAAATTCATTGATTTTGAAAAAAGTTCAGCAATTTTGTAAAAAAATTCTCAAATTTTAAAACGTTCACCTGTTTTGAAAAAGTTCATCGATTTTGAAAAAACATCAATTTTGAAAAAAATTCAACGATGTTGAAATTTTTTCATGCATTTTGAAAAAAGAAAAGAGAAAAAAACTGTATACCTTTTAGTCAGCTGGCCATGTAGCATCGATGGAGGTTGGGGGTGCGCCCGTTTTTGCCGATGCCTTGAACCGGCGCAATGGGCGTCGAATAGGATTTGGCTGGGATACAACTGAGGGGAAGAGGAAGAGCAACATACCCTAACTCATTAAGGATAGACACACCCAGTCAGCCACGCACAAGGTATTTTCCAAGGTTCCTCCTATTCCACGTTAAACATGCGGAATAGCGAGGTAAGGCCTTTCCTATTTGACGCTCTCTCCGAAGAGATGTCCGCTGGCCCAAGCATTCTTTTTCTTGTTTAGTAAATTTTGGAAGGAAGTACAGCTTATGCATGCATGCCAAAAATTACAAATGCTAGCTGAATGAAACCCATTGGAAGCTAATCTTTGTTTAATATCACATGAAGCTAATCTTCGTCCAATTTGCATGCATTGTGTGCCAAAGGACCAAAAT